GGAGAGAGAGAGAGAGAGAGAGAGAGAGAGAGAGAGAGAGAGAGATGCCCTCCCTACCCGCTGCAGGCGTCAGGGGCTGTGGAAGGCAGGCTCTGGCCCTCTGGACCAGGATTTGGTGCTCTAAGGAGGCTGCATGGTTGGCTGAGGGTTGTCAGAGCTGTGGGTAGAACACTGCTTCTGAACAACTGGAAGATTTGTTAGAAAAACAAGCTGGAGGCCGGGGAGATGGCTCAGTAGAATAAGCACTTGCCTGGCAAGCTCAAAGGCCTGAGTTCAATCCCTGGTTCCGCAAAAAAAAAAAAAAAAAAAAGCCGGGCATGGTGGCCTAAGCCTGTCATGCCTATCCTCCCAGCAGTGGGGAGGCTGAGGCAGGAGGATCACGGGGAGTTCAAGCCCAACCTGTCTCAAAAGACAAATAAAAATTCTTAAGATATAAAATGAAAAGCTTCGGTAGAAAAACAACTTTATCTTGTGGCCTAGGATACCAACCAAGGAACCACTCTGCGTCCTGCTTTCTCGGGCTGCCAAGAAAGGTGTGGGCTGGGGCAGCTCCCCGGGGCGACTGGGCAGTGGAAGCACAGGGATTGGGTTACTGAGCTGGGCAGAGCACTCAGGGCACCGACTGCCTTGTTATGGGACAGAGATGGGATCACAGAGAGGGAGGGGCTCTGAACGCCTGCTGCCTGGAAAGCACCTGCGCCCTCACCTTCAAAGTTCCCCGGAGGGTGACATTATGCCCCCTCACAGCCCCATGGGGACACCAGCAGCCTTGGGGCTCCATTCTCCCCTTCCTCTTCTGCTTCTTCCTGGGACGCTTGGCCCTTTCTGAGTTGTGAATCTGGGATCCTCTTGCCTCAGCCTCTCGAGTACAGGGCGGACAGGTGTGTGTGCCAACTAGCCAGGCTGTAGAGTTGTAGCCTAAAACGCCAGGTGGGTGTCCTGGGCCCCGGGTGTGGCCAAGATTACCCAGGGAAACTGCTAGTTTATCAAAGGTGGCATCCAGCCACCGACCCACAGCCCTGGTGGAGCGGAAGTCCTGTTGGGTCACACAGCCTCAGGTGAAATTGCGGTCCCTGCCACTCCATGTGACCATTAGCGAAACCAGGACGGGGTCTCAGGGCACGGGATGCCACCCTTTTCCATCCTGGGCCGCAACAGACACTGTGCCTGACTGGGGCTCGAGGCTCAGCAGGGAGACAGCAAATGCCCTCCCCAGCCACCCCTGAGCTGGTGGCTTCTGTCCTCCAGGCTCGGTTAGGGGAGGCAGGGCTTTTAGTAGGAATCCACGCAGTTGAGCAGACCAGGCATTCTGATGCGAGTAGCAGATTTATTGGGGGGCATCAAGCAGGCTGGCTGTCTAGAGGACTAAGACAGCAGCAAATAAAGGGGGGACAGGAGACTGTAGGATCTTTTTAGGGGGTGACTGCAGCTGGAACAGCCGAGGGAGAGCTAATTGTGGCAGGTTACCTGGTCTGTGGGGGACTTTTTTTTTTTTTTTTTTTTGGTGGTACCAGGGATTGAACTCAGGACCTTGCGCTTGCCAAGCAAGCACTTATTCCACTGAGCTATCTCCCTGGCCTGTGGGGGACTTTTAATGTTAACAGAGGAGTGTGTGGAGGTTGCTTGCCCAGGTTAAGGTCAGGTGGACCTACTCGGCGGTTCTGGGTTTGGCTCTGCGTAGGGGGGAGTTTGGGAGCAGGGTGTTGTTTGTTTGTTT